ATCAATGTCATCGCCGCCGCCGCCGCCATCTCCGCCACCACCGTCGTCATCACGATCAAAGACCTTGACAAATGGGTTATTGGCATTTGCTATTATTGGTTCAGTGGGAGCTTTTGCTGGAATATGCACTATAGTTTATTGCTTGTGGAGTGGAGTTTGTTTTGGGAAGAAGAAAGTCCACAATTCTGTGCAGCCTACAATCACAAGAGGTAGCAGTGGTTCCAATGGTGGGGGTGCTTCTAATAATAGCAATTCGTCGATATCATCTATGATCATGCGACAGACTTCAATAATAATGAGGCGCCAGAGGAGTGGAACCTCATCAGCAAAGCACCCAGAAAGGGCTGAGGAGTTCACCCTGGCTGAGCTTGTGGCAGCCACCAACAACTTCTCACTTGAAAACAAGATTGGGGCCGGAAGCTTTGGTATTGTCTACAAAGGCAAACTAGCGGATGGACGCGAGGTGGCAATCAAGAGGGGTGAAACTGGTTCCAAGATGAAGAAGTTTCAAGAGAAGGAGAGTGCATTTGAATCTGAATTGGCCTTCTTGTCTCGGCTACACCACAAGCACTTGGTTGGACTAGTTGGGTATTGCGAAGAGAAAGATGAGAGGCTCTTGGTGTATGAGTACATGAAGAATGGGGCGTTGTATGATCATTTGCATGACAAGAACAATGTGGAGAAGGGTAGCAGTGTGTTGAACTATTGGAAAATGAGGATCAAAATTGCTTTGGATGCTGCGCGGGGAATAGAATATCTTCATAATTATGCAGTTCCATCAATTATTCACAGAGACATAAAGTCTTCTAATATTCTTATTGATGCTACTTGGACTGCAAGAGTATCAGATTTTGGATTGTCCTTGATGAGTCCAGAACCTGACCGTGATTACCGTCCAATGAAGGCAGCAGGAACCGTTGGATACATTGATCCTGAGTACTATGGTTTAAATGTATTGACGGCAAAGAGTGATGTTTATGGGCTTGGAGTTGTACTGCTCGAACTTTTAACGGGAAAGAGAGCTATATTCAAGTATGGCGAAGATGGGGGCACCCCACTAAGTGTGGTGGACTTTGCAGTGCCTCCTATTTTGGCTGGAGAATTGGTGAAAATTTTGGATCCAAGGGTTGGACCACCTGATGTGAATGAGGCAGAAGCATTGGAATTGGTGGCCTATACAGCTATCCATTGTGTGAATTTGGAAGGGAAAGATAGACCAACCATGGCTGACATTGCGGTCAATTTGGAGAGGGCTTTGGCTATTTGTGAGAGTAGCCATGATAGCATTTCCAGTGGCACTATCTCTGTTGTTTCTGAATGAGAAAGTTCAACCCCGGGAAAGGGGACAAATTATTGAAAATTTGTGAATTCTTAATGATTCTTTATCAATTTCATATCTTTGTTGATTCTTTCTGATATGGGTACTCCGTGCCTGTAAATATTTAGCGTATATGATGCTTTAATTTGTAGATTGCAGAATCTCACAAAATTGCCTCCTGCCTAGCAGAAAAATAGGTCAGTTAGAGTCTATCTTTCTTGACAATTTAATTTCACACAAGATGTTAATACATGGTATGAAAGATTAAAGTATCATCAATACCTAAAACATGTGTATCTACGTGGATAATAATACCTAGTAATAACATCGTTGCTAATTTTCTCTCTGTCCTAATTTGGGGTGCTCTTCTGAGCATTGGAATTGTTATTATTGCTTTTAAATGACTGCATCCTAGGATGAATTGGTAAGAAATAAAGTAATAAACTATAAGAGCATTGTTGATTGTTGTGTAAAAATATTCATTGATCCCGTTCATGCTAGGAAGCTACCAATGGTTTTCAATGTAAAATGTAAACAAATTTGTTGGGAATGTAGGGAACGATGGAGAGTGAAGCAGAAAACTATGCAGTTGCGGTCTCACTTGAGAAGCTGAGTTTTCAGAGACATTGTAACCAATTCCTTTCACTATTCTAACCATGGTCCCCAGCATTAGAAGTAAGTAGTACTTCTGCAGTTTTGTCTCTCTTTGAAAAGTCATTGTTGACTTCTACGTTGACGTTGGGCACAAGTTTGACGCAACGTACTGAAACACCGAATGATGCAGCGGATTGATAAATGCGTATTAATTGCTTCTTGATTATTACGGCAATAATTATGTACCCAAGAAACCACCTTTGAATTGACCACTCTGTTTCTACTTTTCTGATGTACGCTGTTTTTGGAGGACTTGGTCTCATTGCTCTTGTCTGAGACTGAAATTTCAAGTGTGATTTTGTCTCTTGCACACTACAATCAGCATCCGATGAAGTTTAAGTTATTGATTTTGACGAATTTGTGATTCGGATTACTTATTTTCAGACAACTTTTAAAACTATAAATAAATATTTCAAAAAATAAGAAAAATATTCCCATACATTCTATTGATCACCTATTGCTTTTTACCTTTCCAGATATCAGTCTCATCATAATTAAATGTGCATCCCAGAATTGTTGGTCACAAATTTGGTTTTGAAAGGTAAAAAATAGAAGGAAAGTTTAAGCTAGATATATTTACCTATTATAAGCCATTTTTAAATGTTTGCTATGGTTTGCATTAATGTTTTGACCTGCAAACATTTTAACATTCTATTTATGATAACACTTACTTTTAAATATATATACTCCGGTCCAATAATGACGAATTCCAAAATTTTATGTCCCAGGATAATATAATTAACACCTGCTCAAGTTATTTGTCATATGCCATGGACATTGTGGGTCTTTCAGAAACCAAAAATGAATTTATTATTTCTAACAATTATCACAGAAAAATAGTTTATTATATTATAAAAATTCTATGATGTTTATGTTTATTTTATTATAATATTAACAATAAATAATATTTTCTTATGCTTTATTATTTTTACAGTTTTTCATTTAATATAAGCAGTTTTATTTATTTATTTATTCGTGTACACTTTTTTTTATTCTCTTTTTTCCATCATCATTTTAAACCAAAACAGTAGTTTATCTATTACGATGGGACAAAGAGAATAAACCTACCTGTTGTCATATTTAATTTATATAAAAGATTTGTCATATTTAATTTATATAAAAGATTTGTTAGTATCTATTTCTTTTATATGTAACTAAATGATGAAACGATAATCGAATACAAAATTAATATATATATTTTTAAATTATATTTAAACTATATCGTTTATTTAATATAATAAATATATTATTTATAATGAAATTACAGTCTAATTTTTATGTAATATATATCCAAATTTTCAAACACTTAAAATAAAAATCTTTATGTATTATTTTCCTCTGACCATATAAAGTCTGCACCTAGATATGGCTGAACCTTGCATTGTTTGGCACCTTCTCTTGCAGTGCCTCGCGCCTTCTCAGCACCTTCTCAACGCTCCTCCGTCTCTTTCATATAAAGGCCTTCGTCAAAGTTCATACATATCCATATATACTTATAAAGAATCAAATGAGTAGTGAAATTTTCATATCCCATATATACTTATATAAAGAATCAAATGAGTAGTGATATTTTCAATAGTATATAAAGAAATTTTTAGGTTACCTAATTTTCGTTAGATAAAAAAATAATCGACTTAAAAAAATAGGTGGTAATTTTATAAATATTAGATGAGACTTTTAAATTGTATCATAAAAGGGTGACGTAAAAAAAGTTTTTTACGTCAAATTAATAGGGATTCGACGTAAAAGTCGTGTTTTATTTTATTTTTGTACCATTTTCTCGTCTCACGCAATAAATTTTTTTTTTTAGAATGACGACAAAAACGACGATGACAATGACCAGCTCCTCTCCAGGTACATTTCGACCATAGTAAATGATGAAAATACTTTCATTGTGTCCTATTTATGGTGGTTGACATTTCTCTCTGATTGAATTTAAGTTTTACAACATTTTTTGTATATTTGAGGTTAGTATTCTATGTGTCCCGTCTTTTATTTTATGTTGAAATTGAATGTTTCCATTGAATTGTTATTGATATTGAACTATTGTAGTTAGTGTTCTATGCGTTTGAATCCTACTTTGTTGTTGTTGTAATTTGTATAATGGGAGTTTAAGTTATTGTTGTTTTGTGTATTAATGTTTTATAATGAAAAAAAATAAACGAAAAATGTTCGAAGTAAGATAACTTTTGACTCGGAAGTCAGATTTGAACATACAACATATCAAAACGAAGAGAAAAAGACGAAGAAGAGGGTACAAATCCCAAAGGGGATTTGTCCTAACAGTTTTTTCAAAATATGTTCCTAAGCACATATAATACACAAAAGTTTATGTGGGTATAATAAGAGGTAATTGCTTTCAACATTTGTTAAGTTCATTTACTTTTGTGTGTATTGCACATTAACTGGAGTCAAATTAACGTTTCAGGTATTTCAAAATTCATCCATCTCCACTATCGGGACATGATATTATAAAATAAAAAGATTTTTCGTTCAACATTTCTAGTTTGTATTGTATTATGTTCTTTAATATTTACGTAACTTAATTTTCATATTAGTTTTTGTCTTTATATTATATTGTATATTTGAATTATTGTCTATTGAAATATGATATCTGGATTCCAAGAAAAAAAAAAGATAAAATTTACATCGGTTACTCTTAGAGTCTGACGTAAATTTACGTCAATTACTACACGACATAAATTTAAGTCGATTACCCTAGGTTCAACCTAAATTTATGTCTCCCATCTTAAATTCATACTTATTTCCGACTTAAAAAAGGACAAAATAACATATGTAAAAATCTAATTTTATAATAGTATTTTCAGGGCATTAATATGAGCGATATCACACTTGATGGAGCAAGTTATAACTGGAGAGTGGAAAGTGGCATAAGGAGTGATGCGGAGTCAAGTTTGGAAGCATCCCTGCCCATAGTTTTGCTTCGGTAGTTGACTGTGCCATAAGGAGTAAGACTCAGTCGAATTTTAGAGCATCTCCAGACGATGTTTTTGCTTCCGCAGTGGACATGAGGAGTGTTGAGGAGTCAAATGAGATAGAATATAATGTTGAAGGTTTACAAATATTCAGCCTGGCTGAGCTTGTAGCAGCCACCAACAATTTCTCAATTCACAATAAGATTGGTGCTGGAAGCTTTGGTGTTGTATACAGAGCCAAACTCGTTGATGGTTGTGAGGTGGCTATCAAGAGGGACCAGACCTGGCCAGAGAGAAAAATTGAAACGAAGTTTGAATTGACCTTGTTGTCCCGGTTACGCTATAAGAACGTGGTTGAGCTGATTGGGTTCTGTGAGAAGAAAGACGAAAGGGTTTTGGTATATGAAGAATGGATCATTGTACGATCATATGCATGGCAAGAACAGCGTGGAGAAGGGTAATAGTGTGTTGAATCCGTGGAAAAAGAGGATCAATATTGATTTGGATGCTTCTCGAGGAATACAATATCTTCGTAAGTATACAAATCCGTTAGATATGGAGTCTTCCAAGATCTGCAAGAGTATCTGGTTTTGGATTTTTGTTGTATTCGTTTGGAGTAGTACTGCTTGAACTGTTAATGGGAAAGACAGGTATATAGAGATAACTAAATGATTAATTGATTATGATGAATAAATATTTGTGCTGTTATGCATATTTGCACCGTTATATGTTTGTTTTCTTTTATTCCTTTACAAACTTAGCCTGTATATGCTAAGTTCCTATTCCTTGTAAAGTCAAGTTGATCAATAATAAAGATATGCATTTTGTTCGTAGAAATTCTAATATGGTATCATATTGATCGACCATGGCTAATTCCAGCCAAAACAACCCAACACTGGATTATCTCATTAATCTGATCAATCCTCTATATCTTTATCTCGGTGAGAATTCGATACTCGTTCTCGTCTTTTTTTTTTATTGACTGAAAATAACTTTCATCAATGACAGCAAGATATGATGGTTGCCCTAAAAACAAAAAATAAAGAATAGTTAGTCATCAACAGTCTTCCATGTTCACCAATCACAGACCCCCTTCACGACACCTGGTGCAGATGGATTGGTTGACACATTCCATGAGCACCTCCATCAAGCAATCTGTGATGTGGATGGACAAAGCTTCAGACATATGGAAAGATTTAAAAGAAAGATTCTCACATTCTAACAAATTTCGTATTGCCGATCTTTAAGATCAAATCCAAAATTGCAAACAAGGTGATTCATCCATTTTTGATTATTACACAATATTAAAAATTTTGTGGAAAGAAATTGAATTTCTTTGTAAATGCCCTGTATCTTGTTCTTGTGGTCTTCTTGCAAAGCTCCAAAAAAAAGGGAAGATGATTGTGTCATTCGATTTATTCATGGTTTAAATGATGACTATTCTCAAGTACGATCTCAGATAATGATCATGGATTCCATGCCTTTGATCCTCAGGACTTTTTCTATGAATCTACAATATGAAAGAGAATTTATTGGTATTATCTCTAATCTTCCCCCTCAAGACTCAGTTGCCTTCTCTGCACAATCGAATGATTCTTCCAAAAACCGCAATTTCAAGAATTCAACTGGAGCCACCAAGAACACCAATCCAGGAAAAGCTACCAATCGGAATACGAAATATTGTGTGGTTTGTGAGAATTGCAAGAAAACAAACCACACAATTGAAACCTGTTACTGGAAAATTGGTTTCCCTGCTGGGTATAGAAAATCTGGTCATGGGTATAGAAAATCTGGTCATGCCTCTTTCTCTGGTCCCAAATCCTTTGCAAATTTGGCTGAAGTAGACTCTACCACACCCTTACAACAATCTTCAATGGTTGACGATTCTCCATGTGACCAATTCAGCTTCTCAAAAGAACAATATCAGGCCATTTTAGCTCTTCTTCAGCAATCTAAGCTTGAGGCGTCTTCTGTCAACCATACTCATAGTTCCTCTATTAATATTGCAGGTGATATTTCTTTCTTTTCCTCTTGAATTTTGGATAGTGGTACGACAGATTACATCTGTCTATCACAATATTGTTTTTCTTTCTTAAAATCCATATCACTTGTTCAGATAAAACTGTCTAATAATACCACTATGATTGTAAAATTTTCTGGCAATATTAGCCTTGAAAAATTAACTCTTGTTATTCCCAAATTAGTTTCTATAATTGATTGTATGGTTATCTTAAATTTGTTTCATTATGTAGAAATCAATATATCAAATGATTGATATAACTAAGAAATTGAATGACCTTTTTTTTTTTTTCAAGATATTAGTGACTCAAATTCATGTGGATCACACTTTCTCAATGCTACTAACACATAACATTCTATCACAGACAATATATCTCTGTTATGACACATTATATTAGGATATAAATCAAATAAAATGTTACAATTTTTAGTTCCTAAATACACTAATATTGTCGTTGATATTGTTTAATTTCTTGTACAAATAATAAAAATGTTTGCCATTTCCTTTCAGAAATAATAAAAACACTACATTCTTTGATCTATTCATGTAGATATTTAAGGTTCACTTGCCCTCTTTTTCAATTGATAATTTCAAGTATTTTCTAGCTGATGATTTCTCTCTATTTCATGGGAAAGGTGGAAGTAACCGTCCGTTAAGTGTGGTAGAGTTTGCAGTGCCTGCTATTATGGATGGACACTTGGTGGAAATTTTGGATTCAAGGGTTGGACTACCTGATGTGAATGAAGCAGAGGCACTGCAGTTATTGGCCTATACCGCTGTCAATTGTGTGACAAGAAAAGGAAAAGATAGGCCAACCATGGCTGAGGTTGTGGTCAATTTAGAACGGGCTTTTGGTAGTTTGTCCCAAGAACCCATATCATAGCATTTTTCTGATGTTTTAGAATGATATGTTCAGAAAACCAATAAAAATGTAAGCAACTTTAGTATGTTTAAGAGTTATGTTTTTAATGTTGTGATGTTTTAAGAAATACATGTTTTCACCTTGAGAAATACTAGATCCAGAACCTCAATAGTAAAAACATCTCAACCATAATCTCTTTTATTATTTTTATAATATAAAAAATTTATATTTTTATATTTATTAATTTAAAGGGGCTGCATGATGGATGTTTATAAAAGGAGCTATTTATACATCACTAGTGATAGTTAAATTTACAGATTCTGACAGCTAAAAACACCTACAATCAATATTTCTCTCGGAATTAAGAAACCCGTCACATTTTAATATTAATACGTCACAAATAGATAATAACGGTATTTTATTGAATGCTAGTATTTTTTCCACAAAATTAAATCTATCATCTGTTTTAACAGCCACAATTCACCTATTTATTTTATTTTATTTTATTTAACATTTAACATTTAACATTTATTAGTAGTTATATATTAGCACAAGTTACATTTATTATTTAATTAAATTTAACAATTTTTTAACCGTTAAAAATCACATAACATTAATTTATCAATTTGTTCAATTTCAACAATTATTTAACAATTTTATCTAAGAAGAAATATTGTATAAATTTTATTTTATTTAAAAAATTCAAACTATTATTTTTATTACTTAAATTTCTTCTTTATTAGTTTCCATTCAACGGATGTCATAATTATGTGACAACAAAATTGATGTATAAAAACTATATATGTTAATAGTTGTCATAAAAACAAGAAATCAATATATAAAAAAAAATTAGGAATCTCATATTTTTCTACTCCACAACTTTGTAAAAGCATACATTATTTGTACAATAAACACTCAATTACACAAAATGAGAATTGTTGCATAATTATCCTATATAATTACAAATATCAAATTATATTTTCATTAACTAGTCCATGTTCTTCTACAACAGACACCTCTTATTTTACTAAAGTAAAAAAAGTAGTTGGCATGCAAATTTTGCTTACTCTCTTTACATAAATGCATGTCAAAATCTTCAATTATTCTAATTATGTTTAGTGTACAAATTTTGCTCACTCTCTTTTCCTTTTTTTTTTATATCACTGCAGCTTCATTACTTACAGTGTGTTTGTTTCAATCATGTATTTTAAAAGCAAAGATTTAACTCAAGGAAAAGTTCTAAGTCCATTTCTTTCAATTGCATATGAAACACATCATTGTACTAGGCAGCACACACAAAAGATTGATCTAAGTATATATATAGAGTGAGAAAAATATTTTTATGAATATGTATAAGATTAAATAACAAAAAAATTTAATGTGATGTCATTAAGGAAAGAAAGTCATACCTCCCCTTATTCAATATGCCCTCTCTACCTCATATCATACAAAATCCCATAGCATGAACTACACCATGATAACTCAACATATCACAACTTCATATCTAAATTTAAAAATACACTAAAAGATGAATGGTTAACCTCTGCAACATAATGTGCATATCTGTTCCATTCAAGAGCAAGGTTTAACTTTGAGGGAGAACCCCTAGAGTTATCTGATGCAGCAACAACAGCCAAGGCCAAAACTAACCTAATAGTGGACACAACAAATGCACATTAGCATTTTTTTTAATAGCCACGTACTTAGAATTTGAATTAGATAATATGTGTTAATTTATTGAGTCAGACTAATTTATCCACATATTCTCACATGAACTTATAATTAGGTAACTCTACAGACATATCTATTTTGTTAAGCAATTAGCATTCATATTTTTGAAACTTGTCATGGAAAGTGTGTCTCTGTTCTTTCAAAATGTATTGTCATGAAAAGTGTGCCTCTTTTTTCAAAATGTAATACTGTAATGTAGAAAATGGGTGTTGATAAGACGTAAACATGAATGAAAGTTTTAATATTAATAAAGGGAAAAGATGTTGTTGATTTTTTTGTTTTATTAAATAACTGATTAACAGTTTCATTTATTAATAAAATAATAATTTTTAATTATTTTATTTTGATTAAATTATGAATGATTATAATATTAATAAACCGAATTGTCTATTACATGTATTTTAAAACTAGGTTGTTCATGTATAATAATAGCTCATTAATAAATTATTTATAATGAAATATCAGCATCTTGCATTGCTTGGCAACTTCTCAACACCTTCTCTTGGGTTGACTTGCGCCTTCGCAGCACTCTGTCTCTTCCATATAGAGGGAGTAATGGATCTCCAGTCCTTCAACAAGGATCATACATATCCATATATACTTTCACTTGCAAAGAATCAAATGGGTGATGAAATTTTTGAGAGCATTGAAATGAGCTATATGACAGTTGATGCAACAAGTTATAGCTGGATATTGGACAGAGCGATAAGGAGTGATACTGATTCAAGTTTGGGAGCATCCCCTGTCCATAGTTTTTCTTCAGTGGTGGACTGTGCCATAAGGAGTAGGACTCCGTCAAATTTTGGAGCATCCCCAATCCATGGTTTTGCTTCAGTAGAGGACATGAGAAGTGTTGCATAGTTACAATTGTTCAGCCTGACTGAGCTTGTAGCAGCCACCAACAATTTCTCACTTCACAACAAGATTGGTGCTGGAAGCTTTGGAGCTGTCTACGGAGCCAAACTCGTTGATGATCGTGAGGTGGCTGTTAAGAGGGGTGAAGCCTGGCCAAAAAGAAAGATTAAAATAAAGTCTGAGTTGACCTTCTTGTCTCGGCTACACCACAAGCACTTGGTTGGACTAGTTGGGTTCTGTGAAGAGAAAGATGAGAGACTCTTGGTGTATGAGTACATGAAGAATGGGGCGTTGTATGATCATTTGCATGACAAGAACAATGTGGAGAAGGGTAGCAGTGTGTTGAACTATTGGAAAATGAGGATCAAAATTGCTTTGGATGCTGCGCGGGGAATAGAATATCTTCATAATTATGCAGTTCCATCAATTATTCACAGAGACATCAAGTCTTCTAATATTCTTATTGATGCTACTTGGACTGCAAGAGTATCAGATTTTGGATTGTCCTTGATGAGTCCGGAACCTGACCATGATTACCGTCCAATGAAGGTAGCAGGAACCCTTGGATACATTGATCCTGAGTACTATGGTTTAAATGTATTGACGACAAAGAGTGATGTTTATGGGCTTGGAATTGTACTGCTCGAACTTTTAACAGGAAAGAGAGCTATATTCAAGTATGACGAAGATGGAGGCACCCCACTAAGTGGCACCCCACTAAGTGTGGTGGACTTTGCAGTGCCTCCTATTTTGGCCGGAGAATTGGTGAAAATTTTGGATCCAAGGGTTGGACCACCTGATGTGACTGAGGCAGAAGCAGTGGAATTGGTGGCCTATACAGCTATCCATTGTGTGAATTTAGAAGGAAAAGATAGACCAACCATGGCTGACATTGTGGTCAATTTGGAGAGGACTTTGGCTATTTGTGAGAGTAGCCATGATAGCATTTCCAGTGACACTATCCATTGTGTGAATTTGGAAGGGAAAGATAGCCCCACCATGGCTGACACTGTGGTCAATTTGGAGAGGGATTTGGCTACTTCTGAGACTAGGCATGATAACATCTCCCGTGGCCTTATCTCTTGTTTCAGAATGATAAAGGTCAACAAATTTCTTGAACTCTTTATTATTTATTTGTCAGATTCTTATCTAATTTTATTCTTTTTTTTTTTTTATGGGTGATATGATGTGATGATAGATGCAGCACAAAAAGAAGAAAATAAAAGGGTAACTGAAACATGATGAAGATCATCTCCTTACTTCTTTACTTCTTCTCCTAAAAAGAATAGTATAGGATTTTAGACTTGTATTTTTTGCCCATTTATATGTTCTAGCTTGTTTTAGTTCATCTTAGATTAATTTTTATTATCTTAGTGCTTTTTTGGGTTTATAAACACTTAGGTGGGGAGATGTGGGACTTCTCCCTTGGTTATTCCAAAGTCCCACATTTCTTAGCTTATTCCCACTACTTGTACTCAACAAACCTATAAATAAAGTTCTTACTCCTCTTGTATGGACACACTTGAAATTGAATGAGAATTAATTTTTGTATTTTGTAAACTCTTGAGATAGAAATTATCTCTTCGTTGAAATTTTGTGATCTTATCTTGTCATGAATCAAGTGTCAATCACCATCCTTCACTTATATTGGAGCTTCTCCCAAGTGGTGTGAACACCTTTCATAAGTTTCCTTTTTCTCTTCTATTTTATCAATTTCTTCCTTTAATTGTATAATTGCTTAGTTTTCTCTTTATGCTTCCACTTCTCTCTTTTAATTTCTCTATTTAAATTGCATGTTTCCATATTATTTGGTATCTAGAGCTTAAGTTATCTTTTCTTGGTTGTATGCTTAAGTAGAATTTTTTTTTTCTTCATTATATCTCTGGGTAATTTGCTTCTAAATTTGTGATTAGGCTTCGATCTCGATGAAAGCAAGACATCAATGAAAAGATAGTTCACTAAATTTAGTTTTTCTTTTTTTTTTTAGTTTGAAGAAGTCCATTAGAAAATGAGAAAGATTAAAATCCAATTTTCTCTTCCTTTTTGCTTAATGCTTGTTGATCATTTCCTTACTCATTGCTTCCTTAATTTGATGTTGCCTTATATTTGTGAGTTGCTGGACCAAAAATGATTTGGTCTTCCTTTTGGTGTGCTCCAAGTGTTTGATGTTTTCCACAACATAGTTGGTCCAATTTTCCAGCAAGCAATTCCGTGACTACACCATTTTTTGTAGCAAATTTTTGTGGCAACAAGAGTGATTAGCTTGGAGGTTTCCAACAAGTAGTTTGTGTCTTCCTTTATCATTTTTTTATCCAATTTCTCCTTGATATTCGTGACTGGATTTTAGTGTCTTGTTTCTTGCTTCTAGCTTTGTTAATTGAGTCATATGTTCATTGTTTCCTAGGAGTTTTTCAGCTTCTCAATTTGCTTTGAACTTATTTGTTTAAATGATACATTGAGTTTTACATGTTTGGAATTGAGATGGATTGCATATAGGATTTAAATGTTCTTATTTCTTTATATGTTCATTACCTTCAAATTCTAAGTGTAAAAAAAAAAAAAATCAAACTCTTCAATTTACACATATTCAATCAATTGATCTTTCAAAATTGTCTTGATCGAAGGATATGCATGCTCACTTGTGTTTGAAATTATTATTTGAAATTACAAATTGAGATAGGACAAATTATTTCCATTCTCTTGAAATCTTTCTCTTCTAGCATGCTTTGATTCTTTGTGTGTTTAAACTTTCTAGTTCTTAGTCAAATTATCTTGCTATTTTGTTGAGCTATATCCTATTTTCTTGCTTGTCTTTTTAAGTTTTGTCTTGGTTCAAAAACAAAAACTATAGAATTATTACCTTGGTTTCAACCTTTTCTTGCTTTACTTAGGTTCAATTTCACGTTACTTGTCTTGTAGTTTCAAAACTTTTTTTTGGCCTCGTGTGTGTTATGCCTCTCAGTTTTACTTCTTTTTAAGTAAGCTTGGTGATTGATCATCTTTCTTTTGTATTTATGCTCAAATTGCTTCTCAATTTTTCCTAAAAGAAAATCCTCTATCTTGATATTTTTGCTTGAGTGAGAGTGCTTCCTTCCTAAATTAAGTATGACCGAGAGTTATACATTTGGTGAGGTTTACTTTTGATTTAACTAACAATTTTCTCTAGTTTTTCTTTTGTGTGCAATTGCTTGTCATGGATTCTCTAGGTTCTTCTAAGCATTGTTCGACGGGAAGAGGAGATAGTGATGTTGGGAGTGCCACTAGAAAATTCAATATGACTCATGTGTTTAAGTGTCTCTAAAGCCAACTTGACTTGCTCACCACAAGGATGAACAAGGAGTTAAAGCTCATCGGGCATGAGGACCCTTCCCCTCTCCGTGGTCGCACCAATACTCGTCATAACAGTCATGGTGGCCGTAGACATGGCTATAGGAGAGGAGCAGCTGAGCACCAAGACTTTGGGGCTCAAGTGAAGAAATTGCTCAAGCTTGATCTTCCCAAATTTGATGGAAACAAGGATCCTAGTTCTTATTTAGATTGGATAGTTAAAGTAGAGCATATTTTTGATTTGTATGATATAGATGTAGGCTTGTGTGTAAAGTTAGCTTCCTTAGCTTTAGAGGATGATGTGGACATAAAGGCCTAAGTCCATAACAAGAAGGATCAAAACCAAGATCCAATCTAAGACTTAGGTGGACCTATGACAAGAGGTAGACTCAGAAAAACACAAAAGGCATTGCAATACAAAGTGACCAATTTGCTAAAGGCCCAACTATTAAAAGATCCAAACATGGAGGAGTCTAGACCTATCACATGCATAGAATATTTGGAGAGCTAGGAGGCCTAACTAAAAGATTTAGTTTTTATTATTATTATTTTATTTGCTACAGTGGAGATTTGAACTCAAGACCCAAAACTTATAATGCCTTCATTGAACCATCTGAGTAACTTAACTTTGCTTGAGATATTATGATTTTAATTTATCTTTATTTCCTGCAATGAGACAAACTCATAAACTTAAGTTGTATTAAACATTTGGAAATTCAGAATGAATTGACACTGTTCATTTGTCACTGTTCACGATGCTTGTTCATTTGTTACTATTCACGGTATTGTTCATTTGTTACTTGTTCATTTGTCAATGTTCACGCGTCTTGTTCAAAAAAAAAGAATCAAAAGAAGAAAAGAATTAGAAAAGAAAAAAAAAAAAAATATATATATATATATATATATATATATATATATATATATATATATATATATATGACGGTTGTTCTTCCTTTAAATTTCAGTGCATATTAGCTGTTTGATAAAATTCCTAAGTGTCAAGCGTCTTTGTCTAATCTTTGTTTTCCCAAACAGTATTTGTCTTGCTTGTTGTTAGTAGTAAAATTGTTCTTTGCTACTTGTCCTTTGTTGGTACTACAATTCTGTTTTATTCCTTGTGATTGCTACAGTTGAAAGTGATTCTTGAACTATAGATTGTTTGATTCTTGTAAGAACCATAAGTCAAAGAACAAGTGGAAAAAGGCAAGAGTGCATATTATACAAAAGCCAAATTGAGAGTAAACATGAGTGATACATCTTTGAGTGCAAATACGTGAGAAGAGTGGTGAGATCCTATTACTTCATTTGTTTGGTCCTTTCTTTTTTTTTTTTACTTGAAAGATGACAGGTGCAGGTGGTGGTGGTGGTACCCCTCCTCTAGGGGGTGACAATAGATTATTGATTGATGCCATTACAACTCAAATGCAAAGAATGTTGACAAAACATACCGAGGAGTTGTATGGGAGAATTGAACAACTAGAAAATCAAGGAAATGATGATGATGGTGGAGGTAGAAGGAGGAGAAGGAGAAATAATGAAGGTGATGTTAGAGATAACAAAATTGAAGGAGTAAAGCTGAACATACCCCCTTTTCAAGGAAAGAGTGATTCAGAAGCATATTTGGAGTGAGAAATAAAAATTGAGCAATTATTTGCATGCCATAATTATATAGAAGATAAAAAGATGAGGGTGACAGCCATGAAATTCACTGATTATGCTCTCATTTGGTGGAACCAATTACAAAGGGAAAGGGTGAGATATAAAGAACCCTTGGTGGAAAGTTGGGAAGAAATGAAAAGGTTGATGAGAAGAAGATTTGTTCCTTCTCATTATCAAAGAGATCTTCACAACAAGCTCCAAAGACTCATACAAGGTAGTAGAGGTGTTGATGAATATTACAAAGAGATGAAGGTTTCCATGATTAGGGCTAATGTTATGGAGGCACGGGAGACTACTATGGCCCGATTCCTACATGGGCTAAATAGTGATATAAGGGATGTTGTGGAGCTGCAAAATTATGTTGAGTTGGAGGATTTAGTACATCAAGCTTCTAAGGTGGAACAACAATTGAAGAGAAAGAGTGCCATGAGGAGGAGTTCATCTAATTTTCACTCTCCTAGTTGGAAGGACAAAAATAAGAAGGAGGGATGATCTTCAACAAGCAATCCCAATGTTATAGCTCATAGAAATCAAAATAAGTCTGATGAGGAACTTAAGAAAACAAGGAGTAGTGAGATTAAGTACTTCAAATGTTTGGGAAGAGGTCACATAACTTCTCAATGTCCCACTAAGAAGACTATGTTACTTAAGGAGGATGGAGAAATAATTAGTGAATCTTCTTCAGATTCTCCATCTAGTGATAAAAATGAGCATGAAGATGAAAAAGAGTTAGAAGGAGATTTGTTCATGATTAGAAGAATGTTAGGTAGTCAATTAGTTGAATTAGATGATTGTCAAAGAGAAAATATTTTTCATGCAAGGTGCCTCATTCAAGGGAAGTTGTGCTCTTTGATCATTGATGGTGGGAGTTGCACTAACATGGCTAGTGCACGGTTGGTTTCAAAAATGAATTTGGAGACTAAGCCACACCCGCGACCTTACAAACTTCAATGGCTTAGTGAAGATGGTGAGATGACCATGAATAGGAAAGTTGAAGTGGGTTTTTCCATAGAGAAATATGAAGATTCTGTTTTGTGTGATGTGGTGCCTATGGAGGCTTGTTATTTACTTATTGGGAGACCATGACAGTACGATAGGAGAGTTATGCATGATGGTTTCACTAATAAGTTCTCTTTTATGCATAAAGACCGCAAAACTACTCTTGCACCTTTGGTTCCAAGAGAAGTTAGTGAGGATCAACTAAAAATGAGAAAGAAAAGAAAAGAAGAAACAAAAGAAAAAGAGAGAGAAAAGAAAAAAGAAAAAGAGATTGAAAAGAAAAAGGAAAAAGAGGAAGAAAAAGAGAAAGAGAGAAAAAAATCAAATCTGTTTATAAAAGAAAAAGAAGTCAAAAGAGCTATGCAATTGAGAAAACCAATACTTTTACTTTTGAGTAAAGAAAGTAAATCAAACAGTCCATGTTTTACTAACTCTCTTCCAAAAGAGGTTTCTTCTTTGTTGCAGGATTTTGAAGATGTTTTTCCCAAAGAAGTGCCTATAGGCCTACCCTCTCTTAGGGATATTAAGCATCAAATTGACCTTATTCTAGGAGCTTCATTGCCTAATAGACCAGCCTATCGAAGCAATCCCCAAGAAACCAAGGAGATTCAAAAGCAAGTTGAAGACTTAATACAAAAGGGGTGAGTTAAAGAAAGCTTGAGTCCATGTGCAGTCCCAGTCATTCTAGTCCCTAAGAAAGATGAAACTTGGAGGATGTGCACAAATTGTAGAGCTATCAATAACATCACGGTAAAGTATAGACATCCCATTCCTAGGTTAGATGACTTGTTGGATGAATTGTATGGTGCTTGTATCTTCTCTAAAATTGACTTGAAAAGTGGATATCATCAAATTATAATTAGAGAAGGAGATGAGTGGAAAACAACTTTTAAAACTAAATATGGGTTGTATGAGTGACTAGTTATGCCCTTTGGGTTAACTAATGCTCCAAACACTTTTATGAGATTG